AAAAAAAAATATATATATATATATATATATATATATATATATATATATATATATATATATATATATATATATGTATATTAAAGCATTATAATCTGCGATCACGCATATGTACGCTCGTTTCGTTCAATTTCACGATAAAATGCTGTTGCACGGCCAGCTTTGTTTACGGTCGATTATAATTCGAATATCAATCAGTGTATTTTATTATTACCTTTCGGAGTCTGCGAAAGCTGAAGATTCATTTGTTCGAAATATCGCTCGATTTTTCTTTTTTTTTTTTAGAAGCAATAGCGACCGGCGATGCGTTAAGGTGAGCGTTTTCCGGCAATATATTATACAATTATTATTATATGCATAATAATCGATCGTTCACGTTGTCTCACGGTATCTCTCGATACCCGTTTCTGTTTCCACAGAAGCCTTTATTATTATCTGGATACATATAAAATCTAATTCCGTAGGACAAGAAGGAGGAGTCCGGAAAATTCAATAGCCTACCTCTGGCCAGTTTCAATTTTATCAACTCGATTATCGGCAGCGGTGTTATTGGTAATACATGGCCACGTGATCGAACAACAATTCTTAAACGTCGAAATTACAAACTCGTGTGTATATATCACCGTGAGATTATTGTTCGCGTTATCAAATGTTGTGCAATATAAATAATCGAATCGACGAATACGGAAAATAACGGAGAATAAATGCATTTAAACGAGGCACGCTATATGCAATTCGCTTGAGTCATGAACGTACGACGTACGGTGTTTCTTTGGTGAATCACATTCGTGGAAATTAATCGATCTTTTAGATCAGGCACATTCGGGGAACAGACTTCTTTTTTTTCTCGTTAAAAGCTCCGGCGAACATAATGCGACGAAAACACGGTTTAAGTAAAACAAATGCAGGAAACTCGATGGCCGATTATAGGCAACGATTTTCAATTCTCTCGCCGGCGAGGACTTAATTGACCTTCTTCGGCCACTGTGTGTGTGTGTATGTGTGTGTGTGTATTCTTCCGCTGCTAATCAAGTTGGAAATGGTTCTCGACTTAGCGCGATGGAAAAATAAATTGAGAAAGCTGGTAAAAGAAGCTCGCGTTTATTGCTGCGGGGATGAAATTAGATCTTCCGAGTTTTCTAGCGAGATGTCTTGTAGCTTCGATTTTTTTTTAAATCGAACCTTTCAGTTTGAATTTCGACTTTGTGCCGGTTGTCGAATGCGAATAATAATCGTATTATTATAATCATCGACGATACAACCGAGAAGGGAATGCAGTTTCTTCGTATTGTAATAATAATGTAAATGCAAAATTGATGAAACTTGTTAACAATTAAATAACAAGTTATCGATTTATCGTGGAAAGATCTGTATTTTGAATATCCTTGAGATGGGGGATCCATTTTCCAAAATTAGCAACACTAATTAAGATCGATGAATATCGTTCTATTATCTGCAAATTTCAACGTTTCTTTTTAACTATCTAACTCATTAATTTTAAGTTACAAAATATTCGCACAACGCAAATATTTTTTTACAAATATAGAAAATATATATAGTAGAAAATCTTTGTAGTTCATAGTCTTGAGAGAAAAATGAGATTCTATAAATGAATTTATACAAAATAAATTTCTATAAATTATCCAAAAACTTATACTTCATATTTACGTAACAATGTTTTTCGTTGCACATAATTATTTAATTGTTACAAAACGCGGAATGCATATTATTCCCGAGACAATTGAATTCTCGAAAAAGGAGAATAATTTCGACGTTTAAGGAGCAAAAAACGATGTAACTATAACCGATAAAAAAGATGAACTACACTGGATTTAATAACGAACACTTTCCAGGCATCCCCTACGCCCTCCATCAGGCTGGATTCGGTCTTGGTATCGCATTGCTGGTAGTGGTAGCTGGCCTGACCGATTACTCATTAATTCTGATGGTCAGAAGCGGTCACATCTGCGGCGAGATGAGCTACCAAGGCTTAATGAGGGCTAGCTTCGGTCGTACCGGATTTTATATTCTCACAACTTTACAGTTTTTTTATCCGTTCATAGGTAAATACAAATTTCACGGTAATCTTTAGCGATCAGCAATTTGTTATCTCGAGTTTGTGTCACGTAAAGAATTATTTATTACGAGAGCAAATTCAACGGTGAATGTGAACGACACCCTTATTTACATGCTGTTATTTATGTAGAATTTGTCACTGTCGTTCATTCATAAAACTCGATCACACGATTCATTCATATATGTGTAACGGAGGTAGTATCCACGCCCACGCGGTAAAATAAACACCGCAACAGTTTATTCAAGAAATATTTAATCGTTCACGTTTATCGATCGCGGGGTCACGATGCGACAATAGAAGATTGTTTAACCGACGGCGAACGCGACACGAGGAGTTCAGCCTCTGCGCAAATAAAATATAAATTTTCAGGAGATAAAGTTATAAAATAACAAGGGGATGCGCGGGTTTATCTAGTACAGTAAATTCTCCCTAATCGACGCTCAGCTTTGGAACAGAAAATGGACAATTTGGAGAGAGGAAAATTATTGTATATTAACAAAATTATTGTACAAGCGAGAAACAAGGAATTCCTGAAGTTATTTGAAGTAACTTTTTCCTTAGCGAAAATGCAATTCGCGGCTTCGTTTACGAGTTATCAACGGAAAACAGTGACCAATCGGAAAGCGAGCGCGACCGGCGCTCCGCCCTTTCGACTAATGCCGCGTCGCGCCGGCCGTCTGACGCAACGGCAGTGGTCACGAGGGCGGGGCGTCAGCCGTACCCGCGATCTCTCATTGGTCGCTGTTTTTCGTTAATAACTCGCAAACGAAGCCGCGGATTGAATTTTCGCTAAGGAAAAAGTTGCTTCAAATGATCTCAGGAATCCCTCGTTTCTCGCTTGTACGATAATCTTGGGACACCCTGTATATAGACTGTACTATATAGGCTCGATCAATCGTACCACCTGTTCCAAAATTGTCCATTTTTGTTTCGAAGCTGACCGCCAATTAGGGACTAATTTGCTGTATAGAGATCGTTAAGTCTTTTGTTCCTTTCAGCGATGGTCTCTTATAACGTTGTTGTCGGCGACACGGTCACGAAGGTTTTAATAAGGGTGACGGGAATGAGCGAGACGAACATCTTCGCTCACCGGCAAGTGGTCATCTTCTTCGCGACGGTCTTGGTTACGATACCGCTGTGTCTTTACCGAAACGTTGCTCGTTTGGCCAAGATCTCCTTTCTTTCGCTCGTCTGCGTCGGGTTCATTCTGTTGGCGATTCTAATCCGAATGGGTACGATGGCCTCAATTGTGTGAGTATCCCCTACAAGTGATATTGGCATACTGCAGTTATGTACATTCCAATTTATTGATCTGTCAAATATACGGGGTGGAGCAGAAGCGTTCGCACGGACAAATAGCGGAAATAAAAATTGTTCTTTCTCTTGGATCGTTTACTCGCAGATAGATATACAGGGTGTCTCGGTTGAAGGAGGCCACCGAAGTATCTCTGTTATTTTTGAAAAGTATAGGAAAACTTGATTAACGAAAGCTTCTCGGTTGAAAGAGATGTCTGATACGAACGTAATAATTTTTTCGCAGCTGGAGAATTTTCGAATTAGCATCTGTTAAATAATATCTGCTAAACCAGTCATTTTTCGATATAATACAGGTCAGTACCTTTTTATAGAAAATGTCAAGCTGCGTCAAGTGACGTTTAAAAAAAATGTATGACCATAATTAATAAAGCGAATAACTATTATACAGCTCTCTGAACTGAAAAACTTTTGTTAATACAGCCTTTCGATACCTCTAAAAATAACAGAGATATTAGAACATCGCATCTAAATATCAGTTAATAGTTATATTAATATTAGTTACGAAATTTCGTTAATATCTAATAATATTTAAATACGATATTCTAAAATGATTGAAGAATATTGAAAACATTAACAAATTAACCAATATTAATATAACTTTTGTATTAATATCAATATTAGCACATGGTATCGAGGGGAACAGTTCGATTTAGAATGCCGAAAGAAATTTCTTTTTTAAGAAACGATGCAACTATTCTTCTTGAAGCTATACAAAATGTCTGTCCGAAGCTTTTTAAACGCAATCTTACATATTCTCGAACTTATGATAAAAGACAGTGTATTCTATAAGCTCTATAACGTGCTCTAGTTTACGGACCACCGGTTAATAAATTTTTGATTTATAAACCGGTTGATCGTAATTCCCGGTAGAAAAGCTTGTCTCACGGTTAAATCGAAAGAGTGTACGTGGTTGCTTTTGTAGGCCAAGCCGAGAGGATAGCTGGCGATTCGCGAACTTTCCCGGCATAGTGCCATCGGTCGGGATTATGGCATTCGCCTTCATGTGCCACCATAATACGTTCCTCATCTACGAGTCCATAGAGAGAGCTACCCAACAGAAGTGGGACGTCGTCACTCATTGGTCCCTTTTCACCTCGTTCCTGATTGCCGCGGCGTTCGGAATTATCGGGTACACTACGTTCACATCGTTCGTTCAGGGCGATCTTATGGAGAACTACTGCTGGGACGACGATCTAATGAACTTCGCGAGGGTGATGTTCAGCGGGACCATACTGCTGACGTTCCCGATCGAATGTTTCGTCACGAGGGAGGTAAGTCACCGATCCCTGTTCACACGTTCACAAAATTAGCTTTCTCTTATCTACGCCCTATCAATCTTACACGTTTTTAATATGCACTGTACAAAAGCTATTCAAACGCAATTATTCGATTATGAACCTTGTGCGGGTGCTCGGGTATCCAGGCCCAGGTACTTACTGTGCTTTTGTTTAACATCGTTTCAAGTTCTTGCGAAAATACCACGAAAATGTTCGAAATATTCCTTTTATTGATTTTTGTACCAATTCAATTGAGAATGAATGAAGAAAATTAGAAATACTGAGCGTCGATTAGGGAGAATAACGAGGCTTTAAGATTGTTTGCACCTTATGGTTGTTAACCGCGCAAGGCTTATGCTGTAAGTCGTTGATCATTTTACAAGGAATTACTTTTTAATTATTATAATATATATATTATAATATAATATACATATAATAATGATTTTATTGCGGGGAATAAAATCACATATATATATTATATTATATATATATATATATATATTATATAATATATATATATGTGATTTTATTATATATATATTATTTCATATATCATATATATTATATTATAATATTATGTAAAATCAAATATATATATATAAATATATAAAAGTATATATAATATTAAATATAACACAACATTATTACAATACGATAACTTTTTAAAACAAAACCAATATGATGGTAGAAACAATAATTCTATTCGATTCGTGTTANGCAAGGCTTATGCTGTAAGTCGTTGATCATTTTACAAGGAATTACTTTTTAATTATTATAATATATATATTATAATATAATATACATAAATTAATGATTTTATTGCGGGGAATAAAATCACATATATATATTATATTATATATATATATATATATATTATATAATATATATATATGTGATTTTATTATATATATATTATTTCATATATCATATATATTATATTATAATATTATGTAAAATCAAATATATATATATAAATATATAAAAGTATATATAATATTAAATATAACACAACATTATTACAATACGATAACTTTTTAAAACAAAACCAATATGATGGTAGAAACAATAATTCTATTCGATTCGTGTTAGCTCGTTTCTGGTTCGAAAAAAGACCATTATATCCGTAGCGACAAAAAAGTAAGCTATCCAATAAAAGAAGAATTCACTAAATTATCATGAAATATTTGTCTCAAATATAACAGAAATACTAACAGACCACACTGTCACGTTTGTCCGATACGCGGCAAACTCCGTCGAGCATTTCTGACCGAAAGCGAGAAAGAAAGTCCCCGAATCAAGAACTCGAATCGCAGATCGCGGAGAACGAGCTTCGGACGTCGTCCACGGGGTGCAACCGTATAAATAAGAGATTTCCCGGTATCATATTTCTCCTCGGACAAGAATAGCCCGTTCAAAACTTAGGAAACAAATCACAGACCGTGTGCGAGAGAAGCCCGACATACGACAAAGCTGTTCTCGTTTCGCAGGTGATCTTAACGGCCATCAAAGGAACGGACGAGCTGGAGGATCACACCGCTTACATTCCGAACTCGGACCGGAAGTACCTGATCATCACGCTGACGATCGTGGTGGTGGCATACCTGATCTCGATGTCCACGGACTGTTTGGGCCTGGTGCTCGAACTGAACGGTATCTTGGCGGCCGTGCCCTTAGCCTACGTCCTTCCCGGACTCTGCTACCTCAAACTCGAAGAGGGACCAGTCCTCTCCCCGAAGAAGCTTCCCGCCCTCGGTCTGATGACCGTCGGCGTGTTCGCCGCCGTTTCCGGTCTGCTGCTGTTGATCTTGAACAGCAATACCTCCGGCTCCTGCGTGCACGGAAAGGTAATGTCATATTGTATCGAGAGTTCGAACAGCACGAGCTTGAACACCACCGTCAAGAGTACTATCTAAGTTCCTCGTCGTCGGTGGGGACTGTCGCCGACGGTCCCGGTGCAGGTACATCCGTTTTTGTACAAGAGAAATCGGGTCCCCCCCGAACCGGAAACGTGGATCGAGACGAAGCCGCTGCCCGCGAGACTCGGTTTCTCTCGATTTCTCGCGATTCGGACGACGACACGAACGGAAAATCGCTGCTCAGAGAAGCACAGACTTTTGCTGGATTCAAATCAAAAACGAACGAAATAAATCAAACAGAGTATACTTTTCTTCGACTTCGAACTATGGTAGCGTTCGCAAACTCCTCCTGGCAGACAAGTATGTATCCGGCGAAGATCGCCGACGCGTCGGTGATCTTCGGGAAATGTTCTTTCGGCTTCGTTTGTTCGCCGAAATTGCATCGTAACTTTTGGAACAGCGAGGACGATGATCCGACACCGTTCTTTCCGTGTTCGTTGCCGCTTCGGCCCGAACAATCGAGGATCGTTGCTCGCCGACCGGTTGCGACGCGCGTAGAGTTCTCTTTGCCGGCTGAGATACGGTTCAAAAAATGCCAAAAATATTAGAAGAAAATACGGAAAAAAGGAAAAGATAAAGGAAAGAAAGAAGGATCCTGATTTCGAATGCGTTTCGCCCGCGTCATCGCTCGAGGCGACGCACCGCAAAAATTCGCTTGCTCGAGAAATACTTTCTGCCGAGGATTAGCATCGTATTCGTATCGCGCATCGGAACGAAAATCGAAGGAAATAGAAATAGTGTTGTATGTTGAACGAGAGTGTAAATGTTTACGAACGGCAGTGGTTTAGGACACGAATGTACCTTGTAAAGATTTATAGGCATCTATCTGTTGAATTTGCCAGCGTTTATCTTGTTGAACGTGTGAAATTGAATATTTTTTTAACGGAGACCGTAGACAATATTGTATTTAAATATAACGTTTCGTTGGACCGATCAGTTTTCCGAGGGAGCTCGTTTGACAATACCTTCCGAACAAGTGAACGTGGAACGTAATTGGTAAGATCCGACCGTTTTTCGCCGCTGATTTTACACGTTCGTTTCTCTACCGTTTCTTCCCACAGGCCCCGGGTGACATTTACGTTCTCCGGGCCGATCTCGAAAGCTTCCTTGTTGTGCACACTATCCTGTAACGTTTAAGGGCGGTTTGTTCTAAAAAAAAGAAAAGAAAAGAGAACAGCAATATAGACACTTCACAGAATCCGCAAGTTTTCCATTTGTAAATTGCTTGCTCGACTCTGCGTTTGTTAACTGGAATTTACGCGTACCTGGAATGGAATATTGTCTGGAGCAGGGCTGTCAAACTCAAAAGCTAACTTGGGCCGAATAAACAATGCTTAACTTTAGGTGGACCGCAGAAAAAAAATCAATGCTCATGGAAACAAATATTTTTATTTTGACTAGTACATTGTAATGTTTATATTATATATAAATATTATATATAATATATGTATTATATATATTATATATTATAATAATATATATATTATAATATTATATAATATTATTATATTATAATAATAATACTATATATTATAATATTATATAATATTATTATATTATAATAATAATATTATATATTATAATATTATATAATATTATTATATTATAATAATAATATTATATATATATATAATATATAGTAATATTATAATATTATATATAAAGTTAAATTATTGTTTACGTCCTGATATAATACTTGACATCTCTTCTCTGATACTATCTTTCCTATTTCGGGAGAAATCGCAAAAATGCTCATCTCGGGCCGCGAGTTTGACACCCCTTGTCTAGAGTATAACGTGTATATAGAGGGGATTAATTACGATATTTGACTGGCTGAAACGTGAACGTACGATTCCGGCATTGTAATTCGACTTTACCGAATTATAACTTGCCGACTTGAGGACACGGGAGAACTTGTCTCAACGAACTTAACTCATGATTTTAAGCGAGCTCGATTGCTTCTAATGATTTACTTACTAATCGTTCCTTTATCGGCGTTACTAAATTCGAACTGTATTTAATATGCATTTAATATCGATAAGCATAGCTGCCAGCAAATACGTAGACGTGTTTAGAGTCGTGAACGAACCGACGAGAACGGAGAAGCTCGTCGACGACGAATTTCACCGCGACGAAAGTGTAATTTGTTTCTGTGATCGACCACGGAGATTCAACGGGCGATATTTCGACGTTCGAGAAAACTTCGAAGAATCTATCATTCGTTTCACGACTCGGATGTATGCCGACTTTCGTTGCTGGAACAACCGGGCTGAGAAAAAAAAAGAAAAGCACGGGATGAACTTGTAAAATGTAACCGAAAATATTATTCGTCGATAAGAATACTCATTACTGACTAAATAACAAATAATATTAAGCTGTTACTGACACTATTTTTCGAATCTTTATCGTAGGGGCATATATAACGTGACAAACACACACATGAAAAAAACAAGGATAGTGTACCGCGATTTTGTATTAAAAAAAAGAGAGAAAAACGACAACTGACGAGAATGGATTATTTCGGTGTTCCTTTGAGTACAGATTACGCGTCTGATTTCCATGGTTCCCGTTCGACACGCGAACGGGGAGTCGTGGAAATTTCATTGCAAATTGTCCTTATCCTGTGAAAACAGTATAACACACTGGATTAGGTGTATCAACGAGAACGATCTATAGTTTTCTTTTTTACCAAGTTCAACCCTTGATTCCGAGATAAAGCTGAAAAGATGTTCCAAAGTCGAATAATTTTGCTATGGTATCGATAAAATAGCGGTTCGATACACCTAATTCGTGAAAAAACATTCGCATTGTTGTTCAGTTGGACAATCATACTTGTAATATTTATGTTGACGAACGTGTGTGCGTTTCTTTTTCTTCTTTTTTTTAATACAAAATCAAGTTATTTGCTTTCTGAAAAGGTTTAGGTGTAACAAAATATGTGTATAAGAACGTTTCGTTCGACGGTGCAATTCGGGAATGGGGCGTTCGAAGATCTGGATTTTCCGATTCTGATTTTCTCCATTCGTTTCGAAAGTCTTGACGAGACGACGTTTCTCACGTCGACACTCCCGGATTTTAGAACACCGCCCATCACCTTCGCTGCACCGTCGAGCCGTAAGAAACGCGATCGTATTAGGCCTAACAAGTATTAACTACTACAAAGAAACGCTAATTATTAGACGAGGAAATGAAAAAAACAACAATCAGAGACCATGACGATGAAAGTATTTAACTAAAGAGTATTTAATATTGGAACGATCCATTTATTTAAACGTTCCACTCGATGTGTTTATGGTAAAATGGTTCGCAGAAAAATCCTACCGGGTGTCCGTGTATTTGTATATATAGTATATATTTATGAGTGTATCTATGTGTGTATTTAACTCTTTGCCTATCTACATAGATTATAAATGTGTAAAATACTCTACCGCCTCGTGAATGAAGGTGTTATTACGTTTCGAAAAGTACTCCAACATAACTTCCGAGGAATAAGTGCTGATCTTATGCAAGAAAAAAAAAGAAGAAGAAAGAAAATGCGGCGGACTTCTTATAGACACTTTCATAGAGGATAAAATACGTTTATCGAACGCTTCCATCAGCATCAATAAGAAACTGCTGTTTCCATGTTGTGCCGCGTTGATTTTCGAATGTTCGAACCGCGATGAAAACGAGAGACCATGTAATACTTTCATTCACGTCGCTATATACATACCTAAGATTATGAACATTCGGAACGAGCCGACAGTGCAACCGATTCTCTCGATTACAAGTCGACACGGAATTTTTATATCGATCCGGCAGAAGACACTTCTCTCTCTCTCTCTCTCTCTCTCTCTCTCTCTCTCTCTCTCTCTCTCCCTCTCTCTATCTATCTATCTATCTATCTCTATTTCTCGTGTTTCGATTGTCTTCGCCATTCGCGCGTACACGACAAAACCAAAGAAATATCCGATTTCTCGAGAAGCATAGCAGCACTCTTTCTACCATAATGTCGAGCAACTTTTACGTGTGGCAGGCGTCTTAAACACCGCGACGAGAATTTCACGATACAACGTATGTATGTGCTATCTCGCTGCTTCCGACGCTTTTTCCTCCGAGCACAGCAGAACAACTCCGACGAAGCGAACAGTAGCGGATTTTAGACGATTTTATAAAATTCCCGAGAGCCGACGAAAACATTCGCGAAACGAAATAGCCGCGGTTCGATCCTTCGCGCTCGAGGCCGAATCAACGGAAGATTAAAAAAACGGTTCCGCCATTTTTCTCAATGGAATATCGCGACCCGTGCAACAGCCTGCGTTCTCAACAGCTCTTTCAACGTGAACGAATCTGATCGATACGATTATTTTGCGACGCGACAATTTTTAATGGCGCCTCTCGAGTGCGAAGGGTTGAACGACACGAGGAGCGACCCTTAGGAATCGCGGCCACGGATCGCCGCGCGACGGTCGAAGATATATCCCGCGGGCACTCGGTAAATCCTCTTCAATTGTACCGAAATTCGAACGTCGAGGGGCAACAATGAAAGAAGAACGACGCGAGTACAAACCGTCGTCGCTGACAATCGTGAATTGCTGACCAAGAACCAAAAAAAAAAACAAACGAAAACTGCGGAACAAGCGAGCGAGATGACACCGCGAAGAAGTTCCACGGGGAAATCTCAACGATCGGCGTGAAACGAAACAGGTTCCTAAATCAAACGACACTCGAGTCTCTTATATTTGTACTCGCGAACATATTTTTCTATGATTGATTCACTATAGTCTTTCGTAATCAACCGCTTGCGCAGATATTATGCAACTGAATTTGATCGTTTCAGATCCTTTCGACTGTCGAATGGCGGATATCAGAGAATTCTATAGATCCGTGTGAGATGAAGCTTATTATCCAGATAATATTATCCGTAGATTTCGTTTCGAACAATTTGT